TAAAAGAGCATATTTGGTGAAAAAAACAATTGATTATTACTGTAGCAATTAAAATTTGAAGATTGACAACTGAAAACTCTTCATCAACGATTCGGATTACACGGGATCAACAACATCTACCGTATATCTAAAAGTAACCCATTACACTAAGGAAAGAAGGACAATGATTAGAAATTGATTAACCACAGAATTCTTTTAAAAGACATTTTTCTCTACTGTGGCAATGCTTCTATCCAATATAAATACATAGTACAGAGCAATTCTAGAATTAATTGAACTCGTACATTTTATTTCTCAGTAAGATTTATGACTTACATTTATCAATAGCAGTCAATGAGTCAATATTCTGTACGATGATTGTATTATAGAATATTTTGAATCGAAATGCTGCATCAATTATAGTTAATTAACGTTGCTGTCTTTATATACCATTTTGCTAAAAAAAAAACCCTCCAAATAAATCTTTTCAAAACTGGAGTCCCCATGTAAAAATTCTTTTCATAGTTTGCCCTACTTTATTAAACTTGAGTTTGGATTATGATTACGTCGAAATTTTGGTATTTTCTTATTTTTTTCACACATTGCGCATACAACGTGACTCTCACTTTTATACATCATAGTGTATATGAGCCAGTGCACAGTAACGTTGGATGATGTGGTTCATGAACATCGAAATTTATTTGTAGATATATATTTATTTTCGGGGGTTTATATTTACCCCAGTAATAGCACAATATAAAACTTTACTGCACAAGATATCAAATTAAACAATCAACCAAAAAAACATAGACTTTGTTGAAAAATGTGAATGAAAAAAATAGCTTTACGGATTATACTTAAAAATAAAAAAAAATAAATCCTATATTTGGGCTTATTTAATGTTAATGTATACATTATTGGCTAATAGTTAACACTTTTAATTAGTTTTAGTATTTGGAATGTAAATTATTTTGATTCAGATACTTCCGATTTGCACGTGTATTCATGTTCCGTGCTGAAGAACGTGTGTGTTGTAATCATAGACTCCATTTTGTTTATAGGGGTATTCCCGGTGATTCACTTCAGCTTGTATTCTTCAACGTCATTGATTGGCTAATATTTTGGGGATATGTTTATTTGTAATTAACTTACCTATACACCACTCTATGCGTAGGTGTCAGTCTGTAATAGCCTAATAACATACTGCACGTGCATTTCGAAGCATATGATTAAATTTAGCGATATAGCAATGTATTTTTAGGCTAAACGTACTCAGTACGCATAGCCTATTGCGACGGCCTTTCAGACAAAATTTACCGATCCTGGCCTTCTCATTGGCTAAAATATCGAAAAGAGTTAGAGCCCTCTAGCGGCAATTTTCTGAGTAAATAATGCCGCGATCTTTCAAATCGCTATTTTAAAAGCATCCAAAATTAGTTTATTTTTTAATAACAATATGATTACTACATATTTCAGTGTGGTTGAACTATTGATAAATTTTGAACAATACATTTTACGGAATTCTCGACATGACGTAAGCGTACAGAACACTGTACGTGCGAGTTGGCTCCATGATAAAAAGCTAGTCTGGGGGCTTGGTTTGAATTATCAACTAACAGCACTTATAAACAAACAAAACATACAAACAGAACATCAATTTTCATTTAATACTTGTCGTTGTGGCAAGATCGTCTTAATATATTACATCATATAACAAGATAAAAAGTTTGCGCTTCGTAGGCAAAGTACATTTGGTGCTCATGATTTATGAATAATATATTTTTAATACTGTATTGATCATGATGTTGACTCTGTTATAACTTATATTTTTTGTCTTTTAGTTTTATTTGATGAAGGTTGATTGTGCTGATTTCTCAAGGTTTGTTAATGTGTATCAAAGTTCCTTCGTATTATACGACAGTCTGGCAGAGGCTTACATGTAGCTGACTGGCTCGTCTTCCTCTATTTCGTGTCTGGTGCGTCATTATTTAGAAGTTTGTTTCGGCCTTATACCTCTAAATTATTCTGGATTGGGTGATATTTTCCCCGTTGTAGGCATGGTATATTCAGTAATATTATTTATGTTATTAATTAGGCTGGTCATTGTTTGTCAGGAGTCAAGGGGCGTACGTTGATATTATATTATTGTTCTGGGTATTTGGAATCACATTTAACCTTCTCATCGCTGTTGCATCGTGTACATAATCAAATGTTGAACTTGATCATTCATAGATCTGTAGCCAATCGTAAGCTTAGACGGAACTAGAGAGCTGTACAAACTAAAATCACTATAGAGTCTAGGCTGGTGTCAGACATTAGGGGCCTTTCTTTTATGTAGTTCTAACGGACAAACCGGTCGAATCAATAAACGAACTAACAGATAAGCAGTTCAATTTCTATCTTCACTTTTCAAGGTTCTAAATATAATTCTTCCTGTCTGGAAATTTTACGTATGGAATGTCTATTCACCGTCTTTGGAGTACAACTGGCAAAGGAACCTGTGTTGAGTTACCAAATGATATATTTTCTGTTACTACTAAATCAAAGAAAGACTATCACATTGTTTGATCAAACCGAAGGTTTTAAAAGTATTTGAGTTGTTTATAATATATATATAACTTAAATCGACGAGAGTGCTGTAAGGCAAAGTTGAAGAGGAAATTGTGATATCTATCTTGATGCTAAATTTAAAAGCCTGCCAAGTTTCAAAGACATCGGTTAAAAAGAGATATAAAAGTTTGAATAAAATGAGTTGAAAACAGAATAATCTTGAGACAAAATTAATATCATGAAAAGGGCCAGTGCAGTAACCCTTACAAATACATTTAACGTCTAAAACTTGAGTTTTCTTCCCCTAAGGATACTTCTGATCATATTTGGTTAAAATCCACTCAATGGTTCATGACTAGTAATGGGATTTAGAAACAGTTGTGAGCCAGACAACAGACACAAGACCAAGGATGCTACACCATGGCATAACATCACGTCACCAAGTCCTTTTAACGAAATGAGCTAAACTTCAATTGCACAGTCTTATAAGTACTTTTACAAAAACAAAAACAAAAAAGAAAAAAAAAGGAAAGAAAAAAAGAAAATGTATACAGGTTTTAACACATTTGAATTTTGTGATATTAAAATTACGTCAAGGTATTTGTTTTGTACAAAGTTGGTAGTTATTTTTCTAAACATGCTACAGGCCTAATAACAATATCCTAACAGTTGTTGTTCTGAAAAACAGCATTTAAAATTGTTTTAATACATTTCACTGCTTTGACCCAGAACGTGGAATTCGTAGTAGTCATTGGTACAAACTAAGTAGCCCTCCGTTCCAGCATATTACAAGCCCTATATCATCATTCGCTTTTGGTTACTTAGACAAAGTTGTTTAAAGATTTATACACATTTGACACATGCGACCTTGATAAGGAGTCAATGTCATTCACTTCAAGATATTTGAAAGCCATTTACCCAAACAATTTGCAAGCCTGATATCAGCATCAAGGGCATTTTGGTTATTGAGAATTCGTTTGAAGAATTTGATCTATGACCATGGAAGTCGGTCCAGATCATTCATTTGTACAACCTTGGTTTTTCTTTAACCCAAAGTACTACGGACCTAATATCAGCACCCTTGGACGTTTGGTTATTGAGATGAATCGTTTAAAGATTTAAACAAATTTGGCTCCTGTGACCTTGATCTCATGCCAAGTTTAATAGGTAGAACTTTGATATTCCTTTATATCAGTATGCCACAGTCCTACCCTGAGCCTTTTGGTTATGGAGAAGGCATCGCTTGAATAGAACGTTTACAACCAGCGGAAGGTGCACGATCACTGACGACATACAATAGCTATAGGTCATCCTGATTCGTCGGGTTAGATAACCGGAACAGATTAATTGAATTGATGATAAATGCTGTAACCTAACCTCTACTGAACACGTTTTCTACGTTGCATAGTAATTCAAAGTTTAGCGAGTTTAAAGTTGAAAAAAATTGAAACACCATAAACTATGTTCTAAATAATATCACGACGGTTAAAAAAAAAAAAAAAAAACTAAAATCAAAATCGAAATGCTGAAACTGACCTGATATGATTTGTATATGTATAATAAGCCTAAAATATTTGGATAGTAAAAATAGGACCAATGAAACCAAACTAAACAAACTATTCCTCATACGCATTTGCTTATTTAACAAAAAGGGGGCATATATGATAGAATGTACGTTAATATAACACACACTGAACAACCAAATTATCGTTAAAACGCTTAAGGATGAAGTTGGATTAAATAAATGTGTTTCATATAAAGTGTATTTTGTTTATTGGCCTTCATTACTTAAGTGACAGTAAAAACGTTTGATTTTGTGCGGTGAAGGCAACTTTTAATGTTCGTGAATCATATGAATCTGTGTTTGTGTTCTTGAGATGTCAGTGTTTTAGGATATAATCAACACCGTGAAATTGTATTTATACTTGAATAAACCGAAATGAAAAACGGATATAATGACCAAAAAATACCAAGCTAAATTCTCTGATATGCTGATCAAACTTTATTAGGCCAACAATTATATGCGGACAAAGCTGCAGTAGTTTACATATAAAAGATAAAAAATAAATGTCTTACAAAGAATATTAATCTCACGAACATGTCTACATGTTGTAATGAATATTAAACAAAACGAATCGTCAACAATAACAATTGACCTATAACTCGTAATTTGTCATTTCAAGGAGTTTGGAACAGTAGCATGTCATCAAATACTTTAGATGTAATTAGTGAATACATCATTTCATTCAATTTTCAAAATAAATTATTTTAGTTGAATTATTATCTTCATTTGACGTTACAATGCAAGATAACACATATATCAACAAATTAATTTATGTATGTATATTGGTTTTTTTTTCAATCAGTATAATGGGTGAACTATGTATTTTTTATTTCAATTAAAAAACAATTCTGTGGTACAGGAGTGAAATGATTGAATATCAAAACAAAATCCTTTGTACATTCAGAGGTTATGTTTCATGATACATAAGATAGCCCAAGTAGAACCACAGATTCCTAGACAAAACTTTCTTTGTACCCGGGATATACAAATGGAGATCGACATCTAAAGGATGTGCTTTACGTTCCTCTGGTAAATACATTGAATACATAATTGGTTGTTCTGTATTCATAAGGCCGTCGTTTAGGTATCTCATCACTGCGTCTTTGTATTGCTTAGCAAATCTCAGTAATACCTCTGGCTTTCCGAGAATTATTCCTGCTCCAATCCAATTAAAACTTTTCTGTATTATATACTTTGGTGTTAAACCCTTGTATAAACAATCACATATACGTGTAACACCAACTTTAGTGGCCTCAAAATCACTTGGAACCTCCAACCAGAACGTTTTATTTCTATTCACAATTTCCCGGAAATATCCAATGTCCAGCCAAGTGTAATAATCTGTTGGAAAATAATTCTGTTGTATAGCATCAACCAAAGCCGGAAACTTTGAATGAGTGAGCGCCGCGTAGGCTGGTATGAATGTGTTTGGATGCTGTAAAGGATAACCTGGAGTTGAAAATACTTTTGCAATTTTCGGCATGATTTGGAAACTCCATAATGAGTTTCGATTAACAATGATTGTCTTTGTTAGATGTTTTGAGTCCTTGCGAACATTATCAAAGAGCGTTGCAAAATCTTGACTGTCTGTGTAAAACACAACTGGATTTTTAATTCTCCCAAATAATTTGATCCAGTTCGCATATATTTCTGGTGTTCTATTACCGTTAGTGGTCATAAAATCGCCAATGTCAAAGAATCCCGTAACTATTGTTAAACTTTTATTTGTACCAGCTATACCACGAATGAACACCTGTCCCTCGTCCTAGAAAATAAATGAAATCAAATTCAATAATGTAAGTGTTTCCTCGACCTGAATAAATCTGCATTAATGATTTTTACCATTCAAACTTTCTCAATTGAAAAACAAAGCTTTGATAGCAGACAGTTAAGAAACATTATACTGATTTACATGTAATGCCTCAATCAACGAATAAAGGAACCAGAACTGACCAATACATCATTTATCATTTTACTTACAATGCTTTCAGCCTTGAGGGCTTCGTTTGCTTTCTTCGTTAGGGAACGGAATTTCTGTAAGAAATATAAAAAAAACATGACACCAGACAACTCAGGAAACGGACTACCAAATCATCAGTACTCAACAAAACCACACCCTCCCCACTGAAAAAATTAAAACACAAACACACACAAATCTTACACAATATCCCGCCCCCCTCACCCCCCCTTTAAAAAATAAATAAAAATAAATAAAAACAAATAAATAAATAGAAATGAAGATAAAACAAAATATGCATATTGGTATTTCGCAACAGTTTATGCCCCAAGTCTTCAAGACATTAAAATATGATATGTCATGTGAAATGAAATATTTGCAATACTTGATTAATGTACATACTACCAGCTAAAGACTTGACTAGAATAGAACTTATACACTATGCATTATACAAATTGCTACGTTCATAAACTTCAAATTAAATATGACAAGATTTATTTATGTTGTAACAAGTTAATCCATTTAATTTGTATTCCGCCTTTGCCTAAGGAATAGGAACAGACTGACGACATTATAAAGAGATTACTTTTGTTGTCACAAAGCTATATACAGATGTTTGTAACATTGCCATCTAGAGCGTGATGATGGTACACAAAACATGTTTTTCTTCACGATGTGACTATTTCAAATTGATTCCCTGATATTATTATTTCTAAATAAGAAAATAGAAGTTACTAATATGACTATGAAATATTTGTTTCTTGAATGTTACTTTTAAGTTTTTGAATGATTAAACAAGAGTATTGATTGGTTGTCGGTAGATTCACCTTTGATTTTACAGGAACCCGACCTCACTGTGTCATCGACCTCACTTACAATATTTGTATACAACACAGTTTCAAATCATCAAAAAATTGTTTACAGTTATGTTAAACATAATAATGAATCAAACATTTACTTCCTAGCACAAAAGCAAACTTTAAACTGAAAAACAAACCTAGATTGTATCGTTCTGCTGAAAATGAATGAATGTGCCTTTCACCAATTTTGTTTACATTACTCTGTTTGAAGACATGCAATGATGTCAACCTTCCCAACTGCGATCTCAGATGCACACAGAATTGGAGCCTCAGCATCAATAATAAATAGCTGAAGCTGGTTGAAGTACAATTCTGCTTGACAGACATGTAGACCTTCGTTCAAATATTGTCTGCTATAAGTATGGAATGCTGGAATTTGATCAGTAGATGTCATAAAAAAATGTCAAAAAGTGATCAGAAGTGTGAATCCCATCATCAGGATAGGACATTGGATAACAACTGCATTAATTACAATTGTTCTAAAAGCTATAAAAATAGCCTTTCATTATTTTATCTTGATCACCAAAAATTTATCGAGTATACAATACAGAATTTGATATTATCCAATGAAGTCTCAAGATGATTTTGATGTTTGTTTGCTTGGATTTTTAATTTTTAATTTTGACCCTTTTACCTAGACCGAGGACCGCCCGTATAAAGAGATCACCTCTACTGAGAGATCACCTGTGTGAACAGACCACGTATTAGTCCATTTCATGTCAGGTTTTAGCACTAAACTGTCAAAGTACTGAATCATAGTCAAAGAAAAGCTTGTAATTAAAGTAACACTAAAGTACATCATATTTCCATACCTTTAAGACAATTGTACACTTCACAGAATTTTGTTTCTTTGTAATGTTAACTGGACTCTGGATATGCTGGGGATTTTTTGGTTAGTCCTGAACCAAATTTAATCAATTTTACATAAAATTAGGAATTATATGCTCCCCACCCACAGGGCTCTAAACAGGGGACTAAAATTTATCAAATTGATTCAAATTTCAGGGATGGAAGGATTAAAGATGATTTACTAAAATCTGAATTTCACATTTCCCCTTTGGTAGAAATTTACTACAATTTATATCTCTGTATTATCTATAAATTTCAGCTATGTCATTGATTTTTTACATTTACAAACAAGAAAATTGGTCTCATCATTGAATATCATGACATTATTGCCAATCATGGTGTTCAGGGTCTCCAACCCACAATATGTTCACGGGAGAGTGGAAATAATTTTCAAAATTCTCGTCTTTGCAATAAAATCAGCATGACGCTGTAATTGAACTATTAACTGAGGTATATGATTAATGACCCTGATGTCTTATTTTTATAACAGACAGGTTTGACAAGTCACCACCAAAATATTACATAACTGATTTAGATACATTTCTTAGTTTTCAAAAGTTAAAATATCTTTTGCTTTAGAGATTTTCCAGTAAAATTGAAAATTCAAAAAGGATTTTAAAAAAAAAAGATAAGATATACAAATCTAGAAGAAATCAATTTAAACCTGTGTATTTTCCCCTCTGACCTTCAGCAAACTCATACATGAAACTACCACCCATTGTGCTTCTTAAGCTAACAGTTATTGTATAAACATTTTCCTATATTTTCTATTGACGCCTTAAATTGTTCCCAAAATTTGGAATATTACACGTTTAAAATTTGCACAAAACTTTAAAATTTGTTTATGTCTTTGTTTCATTAATCAATTTTTAATACACAATGTCACTTCAAAGTTTTTAGCAGCAATAAAAAATGCAACATTATTCCCAAATTCTAAATTTTTAGATAGCTTCATTTTTTCATGACATTTTTCCAAACATGTAAAATTCTTAGATATTCCCCTGTTGACGTCAAATCAAAAGAATGATTTCATTTCTATAATATTATTATTAAGTTATTATTATTCCTTTTATGTCCTTCAAGATTACATAAAAAATAAATACAATCAGGACACAATCAACATTAAAAAGGAGTTGTAAAAATGTACATAGCAAATCATAATAGTGTAATTAAGTAGTTTTAAATATTTGATACAGAAATCTTAAATTTACTAGTCTGAAATATTCCAAATCTTCTCTCAAAATTTCACAGCTAAAAGTACCCGCCAAGAAAGGAAAGTGTTTGCTAAGTCAAAGTCTGATAAATTATTCAACCACGTCATGAAATTTATGCCTAACTTATTAAATATTTCAAATATCAATATCTTTCATAGCAGTGACAAATAATATATGTGATAGAATCATCGCACAACATACCACAGTAGTGACACAATTCCTCATGGTTCAAAATGCAAGAGCTTACACATATTTTTAAAATACACTGCATATAAAAATTAAGAATACTTTACTGCTAATTTCCATGAGCGGTGTTTTAAGCTTGAGATGGATAAACTCTGAAAAAAGTGTTGTCATAGAGAATGATATTACTTATGAATCAGGTAGAACCTGGATTAAGGGCCAATTATGCATATCAAGAAAGTTGCAACTACACATTTACAAAGGAGATAATTCTTATACAATAAGAATGGTAAATGAAAAAACCTAGTGGTTGCTGCTAAAGCAGTATCAATTTGAAAATTGAGGGAAACTTTAACTTTTAATATCTATGATGTCAAATCCTAAAATCAACTATCAAAATCTGTACGAAAAATTTGTTATGGTATTAGATACACTTGTCTTGTCGAAAATGTTCTCCTTTTTAATAAATACATGCTAAAACTAAGGGTTTTCTAAAAATTTAATTATTTTGCCAATGCTAGCTAAAAAATATCAACACATTATGATTCAATGTTAATCAACTTTTCTGGTAATCTGTTCTGAATAAAGTAAAACTTTGCCTATAATCTCTGTTTTTAAATAAAGAATGAAATCAAACTTTATTGATAGTCTGTAAAACCAGTCTTTATACAAAAGATTTGATCAATGTACTTTCCCAAGAGCTGAATCTTGCTTACTTTTGATTCATTGTTAGTTTGGCAAGGCCGGGAATAGTTGTGTTGTTATGACTTCATTTCTTGGAAAATAAACCACAAAGAAGCTAAACTGAAAACCAAGTTAGAAAAACCATAAATGTACCAGCAACTCTTTATAAGGAGTGATTCAATATGATTAATCATACAAAAGTATTCCAATACACAATCAGAACTTTTGTTCTTGTTTATACCGGTATACTGCATACTTAGATAGATAGAATTTAATGGTGTGAAGCCACGTTAACATTATCATCAGTTATGTCAGTAACTTATGACACAAAGAACTTGCTCAATGAGTGAACATGCTATTTTTGTCGATTACTAATGGTTTTCTCACTCAATACAAAATATGCTCATTTCACTCTGTATGACGGAATATACTGATATAGATATGAATTTTCCCCATGAATGTTTGACTATTTATCATGGTTTACAATAAATTCTGCCTTATTGGACTTCCTGTATTAAATGCTATTCTCATTGCTGAAACTTGTCGAAGTTGTGAAAAAAACTAAAACAGCTATTTACTCGTTTGAAATTCATGTATCATTTTGAATGCAATGCTGACTAATAAAGATTGGGTTAATTACTGGAATTTCACATGTCAAGAAATATTTGAATAATGATCTTTTTAAACTTTGTTTTCATATAAGATGGGCATGCCTGATCTTGGAAATGAAGGAGGATTTATGCTCACAAAAAAAGTATGTAATTTCAAGTTGATAACTGGAATTTCATGAATATGAATTTGCGTTATTTTTTTTTTATTTGTTTCACTGTATTAGGTTGAAAAAATATGGTAATAATTAAATTTTATATTGGACTCGAACTCAAAATATTATGTACCATGTCTATACCATATTAGGTCAATAATACACTGTGTAAAAATTGTAATATTGTATCTTACTAAATTGCTCTTATTATCGAATTTTTACAGAAATTTTCATTTTAATACATAAAAAGTTCGATCATGCTAAACATAATATATGAACATAATCATATCTTACATGCATAATAATATTTAGTTGTGTATGAATTACTGAGAATGTATAGAAAACAATCAACACATGTATATATCATTTGTCCAATGACATTACAAGAAATCGGCAGGTTAAAATTGACAATATCTGCCTTTTGTGCTTAAATATGAAAAGCTGATATGCTTCGTCGGAATGTAATAAAAATCCTATCGCTACCACTTGAGCTAATTCCCCTCTATATAGTAGATAATATTCGTATCAAGTCCCTGAGCTTTGTGATAGAAGTACGGCCACAGAAATCGGTGACTACGATTCGGCTCAAGAACGTATGCGAAAAAGACATAAATTTATTTGTTCTGTTCTGAAGGTAAGAGTGCATACACATAGGCACTGATAAATAAGAACACAAATGTGCATGTTTAATCCTTAAAAGTTGATAAATTGTCTTAGTTGCAAATATTTTACATTATTGAACACTTGTAGACAGAGATTGAAGATTGAAGGACGTCTCTACATAGGTTTACTAGCATCCCTGTTAACAAAAGTACAGAAAGGGAAAAACGCCATCGTATACGTCATGCAGTAAAAACACGTTTGTATATACAAATTTATTAACCACACGAAGACTTTTTCTTCTTGAAAGTATACATATTTACACCGTGTACCGTGTGTTTTAATCGCTATACCATCCCAGCTGATTATTTATATAGTATCTTTCATTTTCATTTCTGTTATACATGTCCTTGTTATTTTCAAGTATATCAAAAAGACAAGACTAGAACGCTTTTTGAGAGAGAGAGAGAGAGAGAGAGAGAGAGAGAGAGAGAGAGAGAGAGAGAGAGAGAGAGAGAGTGACGATTTTTGTGATTGGAGACGATATAATAATTATTAGTGTGATATTTAGACTTCATTTCACATCTCAAACAACCAACGATTTAATTGCTTCATATTTAAATGTTTCCTTTCGAAACAAAACAGAAAAATACCTTCCATGAACGGAAAACACCCCACACAAGCATTCGATGAAAGAACTTTGTAGTTGAGAGCAGGGATCTTCTCACCTTGCTACCTATACGTTATTGATTCCAGACCTAAAAATTGTAGAGTTTGAAATGTCAATGTTTCTTTAAAAAAGAATACTTAACCCTGTTTGTCTCTTCAACTTATTACTCATGCTAATAGAATTTATACTGGAATTGTTACACACGGGACAATCGTCCAGTATCTTATGGTCTTATAGCTTTAAAATCTTAATGTCTTGATATCACCGACGAGAAGAATAAGGGCGAAACTGTTGTAAGGTGCTGATTAACTCTACTCTATCTGACTTTTATATTGTGTGAGGACATAGTGCCGCTTGGATGGCTGCTTTGGGACAGAGACATGCCAATCATCCTATCTATTGATTTTATTTTTATTTTAAATAAGTTTTACGTCCACTATTACCTTTTTTTCGGTCTATCAGCGGACGAGAACAGATAGGAGAAAGAGTAGGAAGGGAAAAGTGTCATTGATGAGAGAGAGTGGGATATAGAGATGAGGTAGGGTGGGGCCGTCTTTGCTACTTGTCCAAATTCAAAAACTGACCGTTGTCAGGATTAAGAGGGAGAAGGGGTTTCTATACTCGGTAAAATCCGATATGTTTATTGAATTTTGAGGTCCAATCGAAATTACTTAATAAATATTCCTAATGTTAATCTAACTGTGGGTTAATGGTTAGTTGTTAGTATGGTGTTGTTGGCGATTTTGTTTTCTGTGTAACCCATGCGGGTGGAATTATTCTTTTCCTTCCTATCATTCCTTTCAAGCTCGAACCGCTTTTCAAATGCCTATACTTTCTGTAATCCATACTGTTCCTTTCGTCTTGTAACTTCCCAACGTTTTTATGGTTATAATTTGTGATTGTGAGGTTAGTATCGGGAGAGGTGGAGGGTGTTAGTAGGAGTATTCTACGTGCTTAATGAAGTAGGTTTGTTACGATATAGTTTTGTTGGCCGACCAAGTGTTATTGGGGGGGGGAGGTTAATGGGTAATGAAGGAGGGAATTAAGAGGGTAGGGATGATCGGAAAGGAAGGCTACTAGGTGAGGTAGGAGGACAGGTGGGTATTGTGCGGACTAAAGAAATGATGTAGAGTTCTAATCTTTATACTATCATATACCACCCGCAATACTATTTATTTAGGATGTGGGATGAGATGCGACCTTAGGGGTGGGTGTGTGGGGCTGGGGGATTTGCATAGTGTGTGTTTGGTTTGTATGTTTGTGTGTAGTGTTTTATTGTATGTATGTATGTGAGTGCTGAGGTTTCAGTTGTGTGAGAGTTTTGGATTTCCAGTTTTAGACCCTGTAACCAGTGTTGGATAAACAGTTCTGTATAATAACTATCGAGAACTGATTATCCCCAATACCTAACAGGGTTCCATATGCTAACAGCCAGAGTACAAGACCCGACTCCGACTGCAAATCAGTCCATAACTTTTATACCCGAGGTTCCCTTTATGTATAATGTTTACTGGACCCGGGGTCTTAAATGTGAAGTTTGTTTGTATATCATTCTTCCTGTTTGGTCGTTTATTTTATCTATTACTATCAGGGGTGCGTTTACCA